ACTCACTACAAAAAAATGTTGTATTTGCGGAGGTTTTATCTACATATTGCGGGGGTCATAAACCTCCGCAATACACTTTTACGGCGGTTTCCAAAACCCCCCCAATAATGTTCGCTGCAACCAATTTGCGGGGGTTTTCTGACAGACCGCCGTTATCATATAGCGGCGGATATTTGACGACAGTATAACCTCCGCAATTTGGTAGTTGGTTGTTGCTTATTAAAACAAATAGCGGCGGTCTAAAAACCCCCTCAATTTCTTTATTTAACCCCCACAAATTTTATAACACAATATTATCATATGTTAAATAGCGGCAGTTATAACCTTTTTCTGCAATATAATATTACTCCATAACTGTTCCAATTTCAATTACATTAATATAATGAAGCATCAACAAATTATATAAATTGCTTAGTGGAATCAAGTAACATCAATATATTAATAAACCACAATACATTAGTCTCAAAAATTTGCTTTAAACATAACAACTCCAACCATTAAACACAAAACATCAATATTATAAGTCTTAAAACTAACATTAAACATAACATTCACTCCAACCATTATGGACAAAAGATCTACTATGATCATTCAATCGAGTACGATACTTAATTATCTAATACATTTGCAAGCAACTTCAATGGTTGTCGTTAGGATTACTTTCACCGGATGATCTTATATTCGTGGGTAAAATGGATCCGCTAGCCGCATCACTTGGCTACAAAACAATCAAAAGAAAATATAATTAAAAAAAAGTACCTCAACAATATCCTATAACTAATTATACTTGGACTGAACAATCATACTTTACAAAATTAAATAAGAAAGTTATCAACTATTCTTACCGTTGAATGAGGAGAAACAAATATCCCTGCAAATTCTTCAGGTATCTTCCCTTCTTTCATTATCATATACGCCTTAAAAGCATTCATCATTTGAGTGTTAACATTCATCATTTCTCTGTAGTTCTCCTGGCTTTGATTGTGAGCATTCAACATTTGATTGTACTTCTCTTGGCATTGGGAGGAACATGAACCATTATTATAACTTGAAGCATTCAAATCACTATAGCGAGGTCTTGTTTGTCTAAAAGCTCTACTAGGAACAACTCCTAATCCTAAGCACCTTACCCTTCCAGAGTGCTCTTTTCCCAACACCTTACAAACAACATCATTTGGAGAAATTTCAGACTCATCCCTGGTGCTTTGGGTCAATGCTAGTTCAATTTTTTCCTAAATACATTACACACCAAAAGCAAGTGTCCTTACTTCAATCAGTGATTGACAAGTTAGCTACACATAGAAAAGCAAGCTATGAAATAAAAACTTGATCTTTTAGATGAAAAGAGACATCATGGTGGACATCTTTCAGAGGGTTGCAGAAGAAGAAACCAAAGACAAGAAAATGAAAGAATGCATAGAGGAGGGAGATTCCAAGGTAACAACAGAGAAATACAGCAACAAAAGGAGCTCCAATAACAGTAACAACAGTAAGGAATCTTCTGAATCTTCAAATCTCAAAGAAATAGTCCACAATGGTTAGCCTAAGTCAGCCGACTTTTCTCCTACCTATGCTACTTCAAAGAAAGTACGTACGTACTTTAGTTCTTGCTCATCTACCAAAATTTTCCTATTTATACCCCATTTCACTGATAGAACCATCGACATAATATTACTCTCATCACAATTTCCCATGGAAATGCATAGCAAAGAGGCTCAAGCAAGAAATGCTAGTACTCTGTGCCCAACACAGAAAAATTGTAGTAGTAGCATTTTCGTGACACATAAGAACCAATTTTAATCAATAAAAATTGTCCAAATTGTTTGAATTGAAACAGAAAAAAAGAAGTAACATATCTCAGCTGAACTTTTTTACCCTATATCTACGTGCTAGCTAACAAATAGTCGTGTACTCACAACTGTTATTGTACAAGCAAATGAATTAAACAACACGAACGTGATACAGATTTGCCTACTACGAGATGTATAAAAAGGATGGCAGTTTTCCTGCTTGTGTGAGAATTACAAAGAGAAATAAGAAAAAACTAAAGCTTCAGATGTCTTTTAGTTTTCATTCTTTACCCAGGGAATGACAAATCAGTAAATCACTATATTAGTTAGATTTTATTTCAGTTTGTACCATGGAGCACAGGCCTAAAATCCCCCTCTATTAGTAATTGTAGTGTCTTTAGCTTTGTTCAGCCACTTCGAAACAGTTTATCTGTAATAGATAATCACTTTTAAGCTCGTGTCAACTATAATAAATATCTGTATCTCTTAGTGTCTTAGCTGATACTACAGGAGAAAACATCACCAACGAGGATTACGAGTTTAACACTTCTTGCCATAGAAAAGTTGATGTCAATCATAGACATGATCCCCAGCAGTGCAAATAGAGCCCAAAGAAAAGATGGAAAAATCCTAACTTTTATGCGAAGACCGTCATACATTACACACCAAAAGCAAGGAGTACTCATACAAGAAAATGTTGGAGGAATGAGAGTCTTACACATATCTCTTTTGCCGCCTCATTAACATATGATCCATCTTCGTTCCTATGTGTAGCGAGATAAAGCTGTCCTCATCCAGGCTTTTGTCCAGTCTCAGCCATCTATAAATGAAAAGGTCAAATTCGCATTAACTTAATTAACTAGGAATAAATGCTAGTTTAATTAAAGTATCCAAAATGAATTATTTCCATTTCAGCCCTTCTTCTGGAGTTAGGTTTGGAGCCACCGATACGTGAAACAGTTTGTTTCTTCCGAATTTCAGCATTTCTTTTACAAGTTTCCTTACAAAAAGATACCAAAAAAAAATCAACCAAACAGACATAATGCAAGGAAAGACTCCATATATATTGATTTACAAGAAGAAAAGTGTAAGCTGTAACAGGTTTTCAGAAAAAGTCTCACTATTAGTTTACTTGGGTTGCCCCATCTACGTACTATGGCAAGAGAAAAAAAATATTTATTCACTAATTAATATGCTCAAGAAGGTGAGGAGTTGGATTTATACATGAAAAGGGAAAGATAGTAGTACCGGCAAATGAAGGTGAGGAGTTGGATTTATACATTAATAGGCTCACAGATTGAGTAGATTTGGTGTTGCTATGAAAGGCTACTGAAAAGTAGTACCGGCAAATGAAGAATGGTACTGTTATATAAAATCTTTGTTTACACTAACTTACACATCAAGGCAATACATACAATCTCCAAAAACTTATCACTTGGAGCAAAAAAAGAAAAGAAAAGAAAAAAATGTATAACCAACATTCCTTGTCTGTCCAGATAAATGTAAAAATACCTGGAAAAGAATGAGAACAAGGGAATTTGCTAGATTCCACAGAATATATGAGTAAATACTTACTCGTACTTGGTTTTTATTCTAATCAAACAGTTTAACTTAGTAATTAAAAGTTGAAGCATTGAAATAAATACCTGTGTTTTTTCTTTAAAGCGGTAATCAACATAAGAAATCCATTGATCCGGTGAAATCCCTAGTGGAACACTATCCATTATCTCAGCTCTGTTCTTAAGTGGATCATAGACCTTATCAAACAGCTTTAGCCTTTTTGCGCCCCACTTCTTACACATAGAATTATAAACATATCGTCTTGCATTTGACTCAGTTGTCCTAAAACAAAATCGAGGCTTCAAGAATAAACCAATGGTTAGATAATTATTACATGCAACAATACAGTCCAATGGCATAAAACATAGATATTGTATGCCTCAGTAATACCTTTATAAATCGATCATAACAACGGTTGAAGGTTGTCACAGGTATATCCGGCCATTTCTCAAAGTGAATTGGAAAAATGGAGCAGTCGGTTGCTAAAATTCCGCAAAAGCCTATAAGAACGCATTGTCCTTCACCAATGGGAGAATCCGTGTCGCCAAAATCAACCACAATACGTTCTTCATTAGATAAATTTAACACGTCCCTTTTCTTCACTTTAAGTATCTTGCTAGCTCCTTGCGATTCTTAAAAGATAATAATGAAAGCAACAGTCAATCAGGTTGTCTTTGAGTAGATGACACCGAGTAGATGACACGTAGATATTAATTAATTAGTAATTAAGGTCTTTGTGAAAATAATTCATGAGGTAGAAACTAATTGAAGGTAAAAACTGTATATAATTGTTATGGAGCTCAAACAAAGAAGATAAGAGAAAAGAGAAAAGAAGGCTATGATTGGTGTATATAATAAGGAGATGCTTCTTTCTTTTGTTATAGATAAATTATGTGCACTCATATGTGCATTCAGAAATATTCCACAATATGAAGTAGCACAGCAGTCATCATCAGAGAATGTAAAGCCTTAGCCAATAAAACTGACTTCTAAATCAATAGATAAAAAGTAGCAGCCCAGTAAAGACAAGAATTCTGTTAAGGTTGATGATCAAGTCGGCAAAAACAGTTTCAACAAGGGAAAATATCACGGAAAATCAAAACCAAACCCCATAAAAACAAGAAGCTTAGCATACCTATTGCATCTACAGTCCAATGTTGTGAAGACACACGTCTACTACGCTTTCTAGATGGTGGTTGTTGTGACGCGGCCCGGGCTGATGGAACCTGCTGTGTTGTGGTCTGATCTGACTGAATCGGATTTGCTGCAACATGACCTGAAGGTGTTGGTCGTGTTGTCGGTTGAATAAATGAAGTCAGCTGTGGTGGATCATCAAAATGCGAAGGTGCTGATTGAGTTGTTGATAAAGGTTGTGCTACACCTTGTGATGTAGGTGCTGACTGAAAGGTGTTCTGGAAGTTCTCGTAACGCTTGGGCTTCGGCATACCTGCAAGCAATAAAAGAAAAGCATTGGCTAAGACTTATAGTTATACTAGATGATTTCTTCACCAGATGGTCCTATACCAGATGATTTCTTCACAGCCTGTGGTAAATCATACTTTTGATGCAAGGTTGAGTTTTAAATTATCATACGGAAAGTGTGCTTGGATGTGCTCTAACAGAAATCATCATAAGCAAACATGCACAAATCTGCCAACTTGAATCCAGTATTTAATTCTGGATATCTCTCTCATACACAACACATCACATTAATCCATAATGGATAGAGAAGCTGAAAAAGGATCAAAACACATTGAAAATGGAAGTCCAGAGTCTAAAACAACAACAAGATAGCCCAGAAAGCTAACTAGCTACTGTTAAAGAGAGGTTACAGAATAGTAAGACTAGGCAAAAGTATATGGTAATCTTTATGGCAAAAGCATGCAAGAATCCTCTCTTTGTTCAACATTTGATTGAGAAGATTAAACAGAGTAATCTTGAAATTTGAAAGTTACATACTTGAAATTTGAAAGGACTAAACACAGAATGAAAAGGCGATTGTCTATACCAACATTCACAAGAACAAAGATTTCTTCACCATTGACATCCACTTCAACTTGATAAACATAAAAAAATTGTTCCTATTCAAACATATGCTCCTCTATTGCAAGTTGAACATTTTCATAATTAACATCAAAAAATTGTTCAAATTCTTGTTGTTGGAATGGCTCATTCTCGTATATTTCTCCTTCATCAATCTCTCCCATATCAAACAAATCTCTTGGCTTTAAATGTACAGCCACACTCCATCCTTCATCAGTTTCATCATTAACATAGTACACCATATTTGCTTGAGATGCTTCAATATAAGGATCATGCTCCTCACGATCACCGATGTGAATCAATCTAGAAAAATTAACACAATTAAAATTCCAAGCATCGCTTTTGAACCCTCTATCTCGAGTAGTGTCAGCCCACTGGCATTTGAAGAGCACAGCCTTAAACTGGCCATAATAGTTAAGCTCAATAATATCTTCCAACTTCCCATAATATGGCAAGTCTGCTTGCCTCGCATTTCTGTCAGCGTTAGATGCAATACAAGAGGTGTCAGAGGTAAGAAAAACTCCACTATTTTGAGTTTGTGATCCTTGTTCTCTAGACAATGTCCGGAATTTGAATCCATTAATGTTATAAGTAGTAAACCTTCTCGCATCTGGACATGGACCTTGTGCTAGAAACTCCAAATCAGTAGAGATTGTGCTTGCTATATCTGGATTCATAATCTAAATAGACAAAATTATTTTTGTCAAATATTCAAAGTTAAAACAAGAAAATTAATTAAGCATAGACATGCATTTTCACTCACTCTCTTTGGAAACCAATCAGGAAACTCTTTATTAACTCTCCTTTCTACTTCGGTTATCGAAGGTCTCCGGCCTCTTGAACTCCTTCTTATGTAATCCCTAAATTCACTACAAAAGAAGTTTATTGTATCAATTTTAATCACTTCACTCAAAGTTTTTGTAAAAATTTAAATTAATTTATTTTTCTTACCTAATAAACGGCTTTACTGCTGCACAATTAAGTAACACATATCGATGAGCTTGAGTCTTCTCAAGTTGAGTCAAGGTGAATGTTTTAGAACCTCCGACGGGTTTACCTTGTGTAGGAAATATAGATGACATTTCAGAAGCCTCATTAAGATTTGGTCCATCGTTTACACGTTTAGGCCTATCTACCCTCGACTCAATATCCTCAAAATAACGAGAAAAAAGAGTTAGGGCTTCTTCAACAATGTAACCCTCAGCTATGGAACCTTCTGGTTGTGCTTTATTCCCTATAAGGGACTTGAAATGACCTAACAATCTATAACCAACATAAAAAGGTATTAGAATAAGTATTTACTTTGAATTACTATTATAAGATCGATTAAAATTATGTTGAATAAGTAATGTTTTACCTTTCAACAAAATACATCCACCGATAATGTACCGGTCCACCTTGTATTACTTCATCCACTAGATGGACAGTCAAATGAACCATTACAAGGATGTAGGGAACAACATCTCCAAATGGCAAAGTGTGAGTACAATCCGATCTTGTAGCTTTTCTAGGTCCGAGAGGCTCAAGCTTTTCGAACAAAGTTGTCTAAAAAAGGATGAAAGCTCTACGAAGACTGCAACAACATGATTTGGAAGCACATTTCGAATTGCTATGGGCAACAATTGTTCCATAATGATATGACAATCATGGCTTCTTAGTCCAAATATCCTCTTTTTATCTAGATCAACACAACGAGAGATATTACTTGAGTAACCATCCGGCACCGAGATATTTTTTAAAGTTTTGAGAAAGTCGACTCTTTTATTTGTTGGAATAGCAAACGAAGCAAGCCGACAATTCTCATTCTCATCTGGCCAAAGATCACGCTTTATACCCATATCTTGTAGATCTTTTCGAGCCTCAACATGATCCTTTGATTTGTCTTTATCATGTAGCAAAGTGTATATAATATTGTCAAACACATTCTTTTCAATGTGCATAACATCTAAATTATGACGCAACAAGTTGAATTCCCAATATGGAAGATTGAAGAATATGCTTTTTTTTCTCCATTGTTGAGTTGCACTTTCCTCGGTACCGTTTTGTCGATTTCTTTTCCTTCTTTCATTCAATTTTGCTGGTTTTCCAAATGTAACATCAATTTCTTCCACTTGATTCAAAATATCTGACCCAGGTAACTTCCTTGGAGGGTTTCTCTCTTCCGTATTGCCAAAAAAATAGCCTCATCAATCTAAATTTATGATTTCTTGCCAAAAACCGACGATGACCAATAAAGCACCACTTTCTACTATGACGAAGTCGGCAAGGTTCTATATCAAAATTACAAGATGGACATGCAAAACTGGTATGTGTGTTCCAACCAGATAAAATTTTAAGTCCAGGAAAGTCACTAACTGTCAGCATAAGAGCTGCTCACATTAGAAACATTTCATTCTTTGATGAATCAAAAGTTTCCACACCTTCACGCCACAACTCATTCAACTCCTTAATAAGCGGTTGTAGGTATACATCTATATTATTCCCCACCGTACGTGGACCTGGAATGATCATTGAGAGGATAAAATTTGGTTGTTTCACACACAACCAAGGTGGAAGGTTATATGGAACCAAAATCACGGGTCAAATGTTATAATTAGTACTCATCATCCCAAAAGGATTGAAACCATCACTAGCTAGGCCTAATCGAACATTTCTAGGATCAGAAGCAAATTCAGGAAAAGTAGTATCAAATCTCTTCCATGCCTCGCCATCTCTGGGATGCCTCATGATTCCATCTTTGTTACTATCTTTCACATGCCATCTCATATGCTCTGCAATTTTGGAGCACATGAACAATGTCTGCAACCTTGGTTTTAGTGGAAAGTAACGCAAAATTTTTGCGGGCATCTTTTGCTTCTTTTTCTTCTTTCTCATAGTAGACGTGTGATTATTGTTGTTCTTCTTAGTTGGCTTCCATCTAGAAGTATGACAATGCCTGCATGTTTCCTCATTAGCATCATCTCCCCAGTACAACATGCAATCATTTGGACAAACATCTATCTTGATATAATCAAGACAGTTTTTTGATGGTATTCTTGGCCTCATAAAAAGAATTAGGTATCCTTGCAAATCCAAATGCATCCTTCAGTAAATCTAGCATCATAGTCATTCCCTTGTTACTTAACCCAGACAAACACTTTATGTGAAACAACTTCAACAAAAATTCTAGCTTCAAGTACTTGGACCCTTCATATATAATTCTTCACTTCCATCTCTAAGCAACTCAAAAAATTCTTTGTTATTTGAAGAAGGCAGATCATTTAATATTTCTTCTTCTGCAACTACTTGTGACGGACCTGCATCAATGCCCTCATGCCTTAAACCCGGGAATGCTTCATTTATCAACAATTCCATAGGATTTTTAGGAGGCAGTGCATCTGGGATAACCTCTGTGCTTCTAGAGTTCTCCAACACTTCTGTTTCCCCATGAAGAATCCAAGTGACATAATTTTGAGGGAATGACTTGCTAATCAAATGATCGTACACGATCTCTCTAGTCTGCCACTTCCCAAAACCACATTTAGGACACGGATATTTTATTCTATCTCCTATAGAAGCATTTTTAAATGCAAAATTTAGAAATTGATTCAAACCAAGTAAATACTTTGTTGTATTTCTAGGCATTCCAATCCAAGATTTATCCATTGGAAGGTATTGTAACCTACAATATTTCCATGAGAAACGACGATTTAGTAACCTATCAACGCAATAACATTATAAAATTTTGTAAGATAATAAAAAATGGCATATGAAAATATTGCTATGTAATCATATAAAACAATTAAAGTTAAGCATTCCTAAGTGGAACATGCTAGACAATACTTGGAAATTAGTAGATCTTAATTCTTATGGATATAACCAACAACACTTAATTACAACTTATAGTACTTTTCGTATAGTTTTTGAATATCCAATTTTAGTTTCAAAATATTGAGTTGATCTAATCCAATTTAGATTTGAAGATTAGTCAAATTGACTCTAAAGAAGCGAAACAAGACAACAAATATAGGACGGAGGGAATAATAGTATGTATTTTAGTATTTGTAATGGAAGAAATACTATGGAAAATTTGCGCATATTGCATCCTGTGCTCTCTTTAAGTAGCTAGATCAACAGTAAAATCAAGAAGAGAACTATACTCTAATAGTATCAAATTATATCTCCAAAATGGAATTAAGAAGTATTAAGTTCCAAATAAAAAACATAATGATGAACTAGCAGAGTCTTCAGAAGTATATAAATGAACAGTATGTGAGAAAAGAACATTCAACAAATTTAAAGGCCCTTAAAAAAACTAAAACTAGAAACTTTTCCATTTTTCTGAAGGAAACATGTGATGATTAATGGTGCGTTCCGTAGATAATTCAATCGGCTCCTAGTACATAAGTGAACTCTAATTGATACCACATGACAACAAAAATAGCAAAAGAAAGACGACATGAAACATTAATAATGGTGGACGAGCAAGGCAGAAACTATTTGGACATAGAGTCAAACATCAGCAAAATGCATCAATCCGTTCAATATAGGAAGATGGAGGTAGATGTCTGAGCAGATATTCTCTTATAATGCCTTAAATTATTAGAAAATGACAAAAGTAACAGCTTAAATTCAGCTTCCTTCACTAAATTTTCCAGTACATAGTAGTACTAATCAAGAATTCTGTATACTGAAGAACCAAATGTTACGAATATAACAACAATTGCTATTGATGCCTGGTATGCAGAAGAATTCCGAACATAATCTTTCTTGGCAGGAGACAGTTAAATAACAAAGATTCGAGAAATTCAGTGCTTCTACCACTATTAGCAGATACCACAAAGAAAACAGAATCTAGGTGCTCAAATAAAGAGAGGATTATACCAGACCACGAACGAACAATTAAATGACCATTCACAAACTTATCCTGAACTGAAATGCCCAGAACCTGCAAAAAAACAAAAAATGTACCTTGAGACTGATTCAAACACAAAGTAGAGCAGAAAGAGGGAAAGCAGCCGACGACAATTGCGTCTTCTCTGAAGGTCCCCAGGAGTTCTAAAATACACAAGCAAAAGGAAATATTTCAATTAAGACATCAATCACAGAAATTAACCTACAAAATACACAAAAAACCTAAATTTTAGAACCTAATGTGAAAGGAGAAAGAGGACTTGCATCTCGATTTCAGCAAAGAGTGTTATGTCCTTCTTCAAAATACACCGATTCTACCAAATTTCTGCGGATTCTACCAAATTTTTGCCGATTCAAAATACACCGATTCTACCAAATTTCTTCAAAATACACCGATTCTACCAAATTAACAGAGAAAATAAACTTAAAACCCACATGCATGAAGAAAGAAAGACAAAAAAGCAAATTCAAAGACTGAAAGAGCAAAATCAAAGCAAAATCGAAGAGGAATTTGTATGAAAGAGCAAAATCAAATAAACTTACATCCAATTGATTGATAAATCTGAAGTTTTCTTTCATATCTCTTTCATTTTGCAACAGAGGAGGCGCTGAAGAAAGATGAGGCGCTGAAGAAAAGCAGAGAGCTTGAAATCGTAGGAAATGAAGAAGAAATGGAAGAGATTAAGTTTTGTTCGGCTATTTTTGATTAAGTGATTAACTGAGAGTGGGTTTCTGAAAATGAAAAAAGTGAAAATGAGAAAGGGGTTTGGGGGAAAAAGAGAGGGAAACGATTAAAAAACGAGGGAAACATTGGGCTGATTGCGGAGGGCCGCAAATTTAATATATTTGCGGGGTAAATAAATCTCCACAATTTGTTATAGATACCGGAGGTTATAAAAACCGCCTCAATAAAACCGCCCCAAATTTGACATTTTTTTGTAGTGGCTATGCATTACTAATTCATACATTACTAATACACCTTATTCCGCATTATTCTTGTACATCCTTACCAAACCACCCCTAAATTCTTTGCAAGAGACCATATATTCCTCACTCTTTATCTTCTTCTTATTAATTTGCTCCGTAAGCAAAAGTTCACTTCCCAACGCTCATGGCGTCAATATACGCACTACTGTTTGGTAATCTAGTACTATTGCCAATCATAAAAAACTGAGCTAGTCTCTTTTTCTTTTCTTTTTCTAAGTTTGTGCAACACTTAAAGTTAGTAATAAATAAGGAATAAACAATTAATAATCGTTTTTTTTTCAATAGTTCTCCTGTTGAGTATTTACCGAACAGAAGCCCTCAAAACGCTCGTTGTCAATATAACCATTCTTGAAACTGCGATGGAAAAGGAAGCAGGTGAGAATTATCTTTCTTAAGATACTAGTGGATTAATTATATATTAAAATATTATATAATATTCTTACACAATTTATGTTTTTTCTCAATATATGCCAGTTTATTTGGATGGAAGTGCACCAGCATTCCGTTTCCACAGTGGAACTGGCTCGGGAGTTCAGAATTGGCTTCTTCACCTTGAGGTTAAAATTATTAGTAATATTTTTTTGTTTTCTAATTAATCTCCAACTCTAAATTTTTTTTTAGGGAGGTGGATGGTGTTCGACTGTTTCAGAATGCCTCAATCGTACTAATGAGCCAATCGGATCTTCCAAAAAAATGCCTCTGAACGGTTCTTTCACCGGAGTTCTAAGCAACGACCCTGACATGAATCCTGGTATATAAGTATATACTACTAAGTTGCACATATATATCTTTTCCTCTCTAAAAATTTAATATCAACTCCTAATTAAATGTCAAACTTTTTAGATTTCTATAATTGGAACATAGTCAAAGTTAAGTAGTGCGACGGGGACATCTTTTACGGGTAATATTGAAGAAGTTGATTTAGTAAGTAAAAAATCTCTATATTGTAAGTGTTACATATTTTATATTCAGGTTCCTAACAGCGAATATGCTAATTAATTGTATCAGGCAACTAATCTACGCTATAGAGGGGCAAGAATTTTCAAGGCGATAGTGGAGGAATTATTAGCTAAAGGAATGTCACATGCTAAAAATGTACGATTAATTTTTCCTTTTTTTATTTTACTGGTGGGTTTATATCTTGGTAAGTGGCTGAAATTTAAAAATACAACATTTATTTTATGGTAGGCTATCTTGAGCGGAACTTCAGCGGGAGGGTAGGGTTGGCTGCAATTCTGAATTGTGACAAGTTCAGATATTTCCTCCCAATAGATGCTAGAGTAAAATGCATTTGTGATGCTGGTTTCTTTATTAATGTGTAAGTATTATATTATATGAATCTTGACAACTTTCATGTGTTGCTTTTTTGTAGCTAACTTTTGTATGAGTTTATGCAGAAACACTATCGCTGGTAAACCGGAGATTAAAGAGCTATATGAGAGAGTTGTGTCGTTGCATGTAAGACTCGTCGATTAAGTTGTATTTAATTATTACTATTAACCCCTAATATAGGACAGTAATTCTTCTATTATTATTAACCCCTAATATAGGATAGCAGTTCTTCATTCTTTTGAATATTTAGGGGTCTATCATCAACCTGTCACTATCTTGCACCTCCACAATGTTAAACCCAAGTTTGGTAAGAGATATTCTATTATTGTTGGCCCTTTTACCATATGATTTTTTCTCAAAAATAATACCCTTAATTTGATAAATGTGTAGATCTTCTTCCCTCAGTATGCAGCACAACATATTCGAACACCACTTTTCATCATTAATTCGGCCCACGATTCCTGGCAGGTCAGACAAATAATCCTAAGATTATCAACTTTAATTTACAGATTGTTGCTTTCTTTTATTTCCTTTTAATTTAAAAATGATTTTGCCTTTGAATTCTTGAAAATTAGATCAACAACAGCTTTAATTTGTTCCCAAGGATGCTGATCCTCGAGGTATTTGGGATAGTTGCAAGAATCATATAAGTGAATGTGCAACTAGTCAACTCAATATTCTTTATGGTCAGTATCTCTAATTTGATGGGGTTGATCAAAATTTTCTGATACATATCAAGAGGCACTGAATATATGTATATACATATTATCTATTTATCTATCTTTTTATTTTTATTTATAGAATACAGGTTGAAGTTCTTAAATGTGCTAAATGGATTAGGAGGAAGTTCATCGAATATAGGATATTTCATAATCTCCTGCCATTCCCACAATATCATAGAAACACAAGTTTATTGGTTGTACAACAACTCTCCAACATTATGTAACAAGGTCATTTTTGTTTTTTTTTTTCTTTCAATTTTTAACAATATCCTGTGTTTCTCCAATATAACAGTAAGACTAATTAACTCGCGCGTTATTGCAGCCAATTGCAATAGCTGTTGGAGACTGGTTCTATGAAGGGAGTGGATTCCAGAACACAGATTGCCCTTACCCTTGTGGTCAAAAGTTCTGCCATTAGGGCTAGCTTAAGTTGTTGTTCAACAAATTAATGCGCTATAATAAAGATATATATTGATGTCTATTTCTCTCTTTCATGATATGGATTTCCATCTCATATTATTTTATAAATACTTATATCACTTCTCTAACATACTAAATTCTTTAATGAAACAGTACAGAAGTTTCAGCCAGTTGTATATAATTTTGCATAATATATAGTCAGTACTAATAAGCATATTATGGATGCCTATTCCTCTCTTGGATAATGGATTTCTCTCTTCTTTGTATCAGGATCTGGTGAACATGGATACAACTTTCACCCCTTTTGCATTTTTCTTCAATCATTTTAAAATTAAGAAGCTCCGGATCGTAGAAATTCTGGTAGGCGTCCACGCATTCTTGATAACAAAACCATTCCTTCACTTCTTTAGAATCATTACATTTACCAATGCTTTAGGATACAATACTGAGACAAATACGATAATTTGCAACAGCAGTTTACAAGACATCTCTCCCATTTTATTTTCCTGCAAAAAGAATATATAACATAAAGAATGGTTCTTGATAACCATCATTTGAACAATATATAAAAGTAAACAAAAAGATTGACGTCAAAAAGAACTTAATTTTGAGATTCAAATGGCACATGGGAAGTGTGACATGTAAATGACAAAAATAATCAACATAAATACACACACAAAGAGAATTTCCTTTTTTTTTAGGATTGTGTCTCCTGAAAATATCTAGACAAGAGGGGTTGCTCTGATGGTAAGCAACCCCCACTTCCAATCGAGAGGTTGTGAGATCGAGTCTCCCCAAGAGCAAGGTGGGAAGTTCTTGGAGGGAAGGATGCCGAGGGTCTATTTGGAAACAGTCTCTCTACCCTAGGGTAGGGGTAAGGTCTGCATACACACTACCCTCCCCAGACCCCACTAAGTGGGATTATACTGGGTTGTTGTTGTTGTTGTTGAAGAAATAACGAGGACATATATTATAGAATAGAGATAGCAAGGAACATAAGAACAATTCAAAGAGGAAAAAGGTGGAACAACGTGTACTCTGTGGCCTACTATTGCTTAAGGTTGACCTGTGCAATAGATTGGCTTTAATTTGAAAGCTTAAACAAGTTTATGTTAACCAATCAAAGGGCTTAATAAATAGACATGTTTGATTCATATGTAACGTACGTCAAAGTGTATTTACTTTTCTGGGGGTTTCGTAAAGCTTCTGTTTCACTCTAGTAAGTCATCTATTACGGAAGAGAATGGATAATATAGAGCAAATATCATTTATAGTCACTCGGGCCAAACCTATAATATTCAGTAGCCCAAAATTACAAGACACATTTTATAGCCCAAAAGTAATTTTAGTGGCTAGCCCAAAAGTACTGCTTTCTGCTCTTCCAAGTGAAGCTCCAGCTCTCTTTCCGGTACTTCTCTCTTCCTCCTCCTCCGCCATTTCTCGAAATTACGTCGTTCCACTAATTTGACTAATTTGCTTAACCATAACAATCACATATCCTTTCTAACACGAGTTCACTATCCACACACTTGTTTAGATAAAAGGTTCAAATTCCACTAGTAACATGGCATTTTCTTCCGCTTTATCCTTCCAAAAAAATCATTCCTAAAATTGATTTTGTTCAAAATAAAACTTTGCTGCAACACTACTTAGTTTTATAACATATAATTGAATGCAAAACATGTTAAAAATTGCCTTAACTCTTCCCTCCAACAGAAATACATTTGCCGTTACTCATTCGTATCATAGTTACCCTTACCTTGGCAAACGTAATTCTCGTTGATTTTACAATGAGATTTTTTCGTTCCTATACCATATATGAAATCTTATTATCAAAACTGTGCATAGTTCATATTTACCCGTCATGTTCACAGTTTTTCTACAACTATTATACCATTCATTAAATACTAATTATTAGGAGTTGATTCCTTCCTAATTCCTTACCATTTTTTGCTTTTGACTGGTAAAGATTCCGTGCACCATCGAATTGTCGTAGATGCCCTTCATCCCTGTTTTATTTTTTCTTTATTGACTTTATGAAGCTGAACATTAAAGGAAAGGAAAAGATACTGAACAATTACTTTATATTGACTTTATGAAACTGAACATTACAATCAACATCTCAGAACAGTTAACGTTATTTATATCTTCATCATTTGTAAAAGTAATTTAGAAAATCTACGAAATCATTAGTAATTTGCCAAATCATTAATATAGAAAATTATACAAATATCATATATATATCCGACTTCTCTCTACATCTCTCTCTATTTCTCAATCGTAAATTTCAGTAATACAAAGCAAATGAAAAGAGAGCAGCAATTCCACCATTGACAGCCATTAAAAAGCTTGAAAGCTTTGAATTCAAATTTGGGTTTTCAAAAATCATTATTTGTTTGGATTGGGTGTTGTTGAAAATAATCGGGAATATGGTTTGGAGTTTATATCTCAATTTTGAGGGGTTTTGGTGAAGATTAGACTTGGTTTTGACTGAATTTCAGATTGAAACTCGAAGAAGAAGAAGACATATTGCAGAAATTGTAGATAAATTGTAGATTATTTGTATTCTGATTGTAGATGCTTTATTTTCTGTTTTCACAAATAAAAAACGGCTAAAACTTCTACAAATCTTCTAAAAAACGCAATTATGTCAAAAATTCCAATTATGCTATAATTGAATGGGAATTGAGATATAAAAATTCAATGTACCCAGTTTGTAGATATTTTGTAGATAAATTGTAAATTATTTGTATTCTAATTGTAGATGTTTTGTTTTCTGTTTTCACAAATCAAAAATGACTAAAACTTCTACAAATCTTCTGGAAAAAATGCAATTATGTCGAAAATCCCAATTAAACTACAATCGAATGGAAATTGGGATATTAAAATTCAATATACCCAGTTTGTAGATATTTTGTAGATGAATTATAGATTATTTATATTCTGATTGTAGATGCATTGTTTTCAATTGTAGATGCATTTTTACATTCCTATGCTACATAGGAACTTTTACATTTTTCAATTGTTGTCAAGAAGATGTAGTTGATACACTAATGTTGTGGTTCTTTTACTTTATGGATTTGGACTAAAAAATAAACTGATAATTAATAATCCATAGTGGGAATATTAATATGTAATTAAATAAAGAAACAAAAAAATATTTGTTTATCAAACTTAAGTTCAGATTTTACAAAATTAATACTCTCCATCACATGGTTGTATGTAGCCCAATGGTACGACTAGAATATAAAAATGATTGTGATATCTGCTCTTCAATTTTCTACAAAATTTGAATTCTCGATCCATGAAAAGGTGTACGTATTATATTACTCAGCATTCCTTCGTCATTGTCATTTAAAAAAATTTATGAGCTGGACTCAATTAGGTGACATATTTTAATATGTTAACAAAAGCTGCTCAAGGTAAGGATGCCGGCTTTTTAGGTTAAAATACACCATGGTATAGAATTGGTAATTTGGTATACTAAGTGTAATTAAGTCAAACCTTAAACATTGAGGGAAATAAGGTTTCCTATGTGGCATAGGAATGTAAAAATTCCTTTTAGAATTACATATGTAAGTTAACACGTAAATGACACATATAACTCGCACTATTCACTATGCAGTTTTTTTTAATAAAAAAAAGTAAGTTTTAGACAAACGATTAAACAAATTATGCTCAAAGGAGAATAAATGATGGTAAAAAATGGCTGAAAACTGCCACTATGCAATTTATATACAATAGACTGTCACTATACAAAACATATACAAAAATAAATTGCCATTATACAAAAAAATATACTAAATAGAATGTCACTATACAAAATATATATAAATAGACCGTCACTATACAAAAATATATTAAATAGACCTCCACTATACAATTTATATACAATAGACTGTCACTATACAAAATATATACAAAATAGACTATCACTATACAAAATATATACTAAATAAACTATTACTATATAAAATAGACCGTCACTATACAAAATAGACTGTCAATATACAAAACAGACTGTCACTATACAAAAAATATACAAAATAGATATTTCGGGTTATTAGATGCAATAAGTTTGGGCCGAAGGACCATTTCATATCAGTGGAAAAAAAACATGGGCTATTAAAATTTTGAGGGGTTATAGAGGTAAAATGGCGTGTAGTAGCCACTAATTAAGGGTGTCTTTAATTTTTATCCACTAATTATAATGCTCAGCAAAAATAGCCACTATTAATAGAAAAAGACAATTTTACCCTTTCTTCCTCTCTTTCGCGTTGCATTTTCATCTGGAATACCCAAGGTGATTTCACGTTCGGCCTCCTCCATGCTTGGTCAATAGCATCGGGTCTATTAGTAGCCCCAATTACTAGGACATAACCAGGTCCATCACGAGATCCTTCTGATTTTGCTTCACTATTTCTTTTACCAATACGTACAGTAGTTCCTTTTGCATCATCAAAATTTTCAAGTTCTGAATTTTTTAGCAGATGTCTCAATTACGTACAGTAATTTCTTTCTTCTTACCTTGTTTTTGTTTCTTTTGAGTTAAAATATTAAAAGTTAAGGACATGAGTCTTTAAGTTTGACATGCAGGTTTAAAAGTTAAGGATAGGCAGTCCTTAAATTTGACATGCAGGTTCAAAAGATAAGGACAGACAGTCCTTAACTTATAGTTTCAAGTTAAAAACTTAAGGACAGTCAGTATTTAAGTTATTGCTTCAAGTTCAAAACTTAAGGACTTGTTGTCCTTAACTTTGAGTTTCAGGTTCAAAAGTTAAGGACAAACAGTCCTTAACTTATAGTTTCAAGTTCAAAACTTAAGGACAGGCATTCCTTAAGTTATTGTTTCAAGTTCAAAACTTAAGGACTGTCTGTCCTTAACTTTGAGTTTAAAGTTCAAAAGTTAAGGACAGACAGTCCTTAACTTACAGTTACACGTTCAAAAGTTAAGGACAAGCAGTACTTAACTTACAGTTACAAGTTCAAAAGTTAAGG